GAAAGAAGTGATTTAAAGAATGGCTGCTGTCCTCTAAATGTAGACACTCAAACGTTGGACTGCTTTGTCGTGGTGATTGAACTTTGTTGTCTCTCTTTTGACATTAAGATGTATAAATCATATAAACCATGAAACAATGATAAATAAGAGTACACTTTCAATCAGTGATTGTTAAACTCTGTTTAAGGTGCACTGGCTGACTTCAGAGTTCCTAAATTTACTCAGCAGAAAGAGTCTCTGTTGTGTTTTTGTTTGTAAAAACGATCAGTTCTGTGGTCCATGTTTGACCTGATTGTGTTTCCTGATGTGCTCTGTGTTTCAGTGGTGAAGGGAGAGGATACCTGGAGAGTGACTCACTCTTCTGCTCAGATCTGTGCCGTCAAAGGATCAACAGTGGAGATACCCTGCACCTACACATACCCATCAACAATAAGACAACAAACTACTGTAGTTCAGAGCAGATTCTGGTTTACTAAAGACAGGTATGAACCTGTAGATGTGAGAACAGACCCAGACTACTCAGGTCGTGTTGAGTATCTTTTTCATGAGAACGTCTGCACTCTGAGAATCAAAAACCTGAGAGAGAGAGACTCAGCTGTTTACAAGTTCATGTTCACAACAAACCAATCAGGAGGAAGTTTAACTGGTGATGAAGGAGTCACTTTGTCCATCACAGGTAACTGAATTAGAATATTTGTGATTTGTTCTAAATATTACTGTGAGAGGTCTGTATATGAGTATCATTGAGTAGTTAAGTTTGAAATATTTGTCCTGGTTCTCTACCTGTTCAGACCTTCAGGTGCAGGTGGAGAGAGTCTGGACCTGGGCAGAGCTGAAGTGTTACAGCAGCTGTAATGTGGCTGATAATCCTTCATATGTCTGGTACGAGAACGGACACAAACTGACTGAAGAGACGTCTTCTCTTTATGTTTCTCATTATGATCATAACAAGTATTCCTGCTCTCTCAAAGGATTTGAAGTTTACCGCTCTCCTGAAGTCTGTAAGTCTGTCATTCTTTCAAAAATCAAATAATGATTTCACCTGTTTATACTCAATGTTTACTGCTGAGAGAAAACAACTTCAATTCTATTCAATTCTATTCACAATGTTTTTCACTATTCATTATCGAGAGCAAGGCTAATGACATGTAGGAAAAGAGCCAAAGGTTGGACTTGAACCTTGGCTGCACGCCCTCAAAGACTTAAGCCTTTGTACATGGGGCTTGTGCACTAACCGCTAGGCCACCTGTGTCCCATTCTATTTGTTATTATGAATCTAATTCCACTTCCTGATGTGCTCTGTGTTGCAGTGCTTCAGGGCTGGAGAGTGACTCACTCTTCTGCTCAGATCTGTGCCGTCAAAGGATCAACAGTGGAGATACCCTGCACCTACACATACCCATCAACAATAAGACAACAAACTACTGTAGTTCAGAGCAGATTCTGGTTTACTAAAGACAGGTATGAACCTGTAGATGTGAGAACAGACCCAGACTACTCAGGTCGTGTTGAGTATCTTTTTCATGAGAACGTCTGCACTCTGAGAATCAAAAACCTGAGAGAGAGAGACTCAGCTGTTTACAAGTTCATGTTCACAACAAACCAACCAGGAGGAAGTTTAACTGGTGATGAAGGAGTCACTTTGTCCATCACAGGTAACATTCTCATTTTAAGTATTTTCTTCATTTTCAGAGTTAATACTACTGTGAATCTTTTTGTTTTTGTTTATTTTAATGTTCTAACTTTCTTCACATGTTCAGACCTTCAGGTGCAGGTGGAAAGAAAAAGGAATCAGGCAGAGCTGAAGTGTTACAGCAGCTGTAATGTGGCTGATAATCCTTCATATGTCTGGTACAGAAATGAAAAAAAAATGATTGCAGAGACGTCTTCTATTAGAGTCTCTGTTCATGAGAATAACAAGTATTCCTGCTCTGTTAAAGGACGAGAGGATTACCGCTCTCCTGAAGTCTGTAAGTTTACTCCACAGTGTTTGACTTTACGTTTTATAACCTGTTAACTCTTCCTCATTTTAACCTTCAAAAAGTTTGACCTGACATTGATTTTCAAAGTAAATGAAAAGTGTTTTCTCCTCCAGATGCTCCAAAGCTTCCCTCTGTGTCAGTGAGTCCCTCTGCTGAGATAGTGGAGGGCAGTTCAGTGACTCTGACCTGTAGCAGTGATGCTAACCAAGCAGCTACTTTTACTACTGCAGCTACTGATCCATTTCAGGACGATTTCATCAAAATCTTTGAGTCGACTGATTTTTCATTCTGCCTGATCTCCCGTTGTTAGTTGTGCAGTGTACACTGAGGCTCGACAGCCTATCATTGTCTGATCAGCTGCTTCAGACTGGTCGGATGATTTTCTGGCACGTTTGATATTTTGGTTGTACGACTGCCCACACTCACATAGCAGAGCCATGCGCAGATCCCACGACTTCAGGACTTTTCCCCCCTGATTGTGTCTGCGCAAACTGACAGAAAACATCCTAAATCACCATGGCAACAGTAGACACGCCTGTTTAATCCAAAAGAAACGATGGCAGGAAATATCTGCAGACCTCCAGCTGAGAGGGAATACAGATAGAATACAGGGAGGTGTGTGTGTGTGTGTGTGTGTGTGTGTGTGTGTGTGTTGTGTGTGTGTGTGTGTGTGTGTGTGTGTGTGTGTGTGTGTGTGTGTGTGTGTGTGTGTGTGTGTGTGTGTGTGTGTGTGTATTTGAGTCGTGCATATGAGACAGATCTATTGATGATGGTGAATGCTCTGTCCTGATTTCACTCGTACAGTGTGAGTCGACATTCCTCCATGAATTTCAAACAATCGTACAGAGTACGCTGAGCTTTAATGATTGTTGTAAACTCTGCAGGTGAAGAGGGGAGCATCGAGGGAGGGGTTGTCAGCTGGTTTCAATCTGCACCCTCAGCACTTTATTCCACTTCATTCTTCTTTGGTCACTTCAGTTATATTTTTATTCTTCTCTCCTCAAGATGCTCCATCAGTTTGTTCAGCGTCTGTGAGTCCTGCTGGTGAAATCAGAGAGAACAGTAGAGTGACTGTGACCTGTAGCTGTGATGCTAACCCAGCACCTGAATACACCTGGTACAACGTGAACGGTCGTGAACTCAGTAAAGAATCAGAGCTCGTCTTCAGCTCAGTTCAGTCCTCTGACTCTGGAAGGTATTACTGTAAAGCTAAGAATGATCTGGGAGAGAGGACATCTGGATACGTCAAAGTTGAAGTGAAATGTGAGTGAAAAACATTTTCTTTGAAAAGCAACATTGAGCTGATTTCTCATTTGAAGGTTTAATTTGCTGATCATATCTGCTTCCTCTAGCTCTACTTCACACTCACAGTCTGCAGCTAAAGCCCACTGAGCACTGACAACTAATGGTTAAAAGACACATCTTTAATTTGAATTTAAATGTTGAATATAGCTGGAGTAGAGCGTTAGTTATATAATACATGTTAGCAGTGTGAGATTGTCTGTACCAACGTCTCCTCACAGCACGTGACCGAGTGAGCGTCTGAAGAGTTTCTTAAATTTGTTCCAAAGAAAAACCTTTGACTGATTTGTGACGTGTTCTTAAACAACAGAACTGTTCACACCTCATCGCTCAACAGAGCTTGTTAGCTTATTTTGCAAAGTGGAGATAGTGATGCATTGATATTTTGTGATTGACATGTTGAGCTTTGACTTTTGATAACATGGAGGCAAAACTTTATTCTGCTCGCCTCCATCAAAGACTCGTATTAAAGCAACACTGTTCTGTTTGTTCACCTTCAAAATAAAAGCACTAGATGTCATACTGTTTACAAAAGGAAACTGAAATTCACAGAGCAGAGAAATAAACATTTCATGGATCCAGTGTGGACAAGAAGCGTTCAATGCTTCGTCATGCGACATCATATCTAACATCTGATGCTGTGAGGACACGCTGTGATGTGTAATGCAGAACAAAGTCTGAACCGAGAACAAGAGGAGTCCTGAAGGGAAGAGAGGAGAATACAGCAGCGTAACATACTTGTCCTGGGGCCCCGGTACAGATATATTTATTTTTGGGGCCCTCCCAAGCGGCAACCTCCGGTTCTGAAAAATGAAGCCAATGCTGAAGTGTAAAATCCTGCAGTTCATCGACTCTCCACTAGAGGCTGGCTGCAGGAACACAGGAAGTCACATACACATGACATGCAAAAAAAGCTGTTTTTACAGCATAAATAAAGATGTTTACAGCCTGGTTAAAAAACAAATAGGTCTGATTAGTTATTGTCATCACTGGCACACACTTTATGGGGGGTGATTTTTTTTACAAACGGCTCTGTTTTGATTTTGAAAACGATACGTGTTATTCATAGTTAGGTGTGTAGCTGACCTGATTGACAGGTGAGCGCGGTGTAACGGTTTATCAGGAGGTTTAAAACCCGCCTCAGCTCTCAGCCTGTCATTAGGTTGACTGAAAGTTAGACTGAGACAGCATTTCCAGCATGGTGGCTGCTGCTGCTGATGAGCCTCTGGAGCCCCCTGCAGGAACAGATGGCTGACGTCACTCAGGCTTCAAACATTAATATTTACTGTCTATGAGTCCTCTGCTTTGAACCAAACAGATGAGCACGCTGGTTTGCACTAACCTGAACGGACACACACAACCATTCCAGACAATTCCACAACAGACGATTAATGTCACCATGTGGAAAAACACCATGAAACTGTCATTCAAACCAGCCTCTGATCAGCACCACGGACAGCAGCCGGAGAGACACATTTATCCATGCTGAACTAACAACCAGTGACAGCTGGTCAGTAGAGGGGCTGGGCCAAAAGGGGGCAGCAGATACATCCCTAAAACTGAGACATGAAGAGAGAGTCATCAGTAGTTTTGTCTTTGTGAGAATAGATTGTTTGAATTGATCCACTTGTTTTAATGTGCTTCATGTTCTTATACTCAGTGTTTTTATGAGATGTCTTGACTGTGATTGTAGCTGCTGGAACAGAGTCACTTAAAGGAATCATTAATTATCTATATATTGAAACAGGCTCATTCTTATCCCCTTTTCTGTTCATGTGATATGTCTCTAATATTATTTCAGTGTTTTCATCTTGACAATTCAAACATTTTAATGTTGAGGAGAATTAAAACAGATGTTTTCTCCTCCAGATGCTCCAAAGCTTCCCTCTGTGTCAGTGAGTCCCTCTGCTGAGATAGTGGAGGGCAGTTCAGTGACTCTGACCTGTAGCAGTGATGCTAACCCAGCAGCTACTTTTAAATGGTACAAGAGAAATCAGACCCCTCAATACCTTCATGAAGGAGCACAGCTGGTCTTCAACTACATTCAACCCTCGGCCTCTGGAGAGTATTACTGTATCTGAGAACAAGCTGGGGAGGAAGAGGTCTGGATACGTCTCTATCAATGTGAAATGTGAGTGAAACAGCAGAAATGTTCTTGAAGATATTATGTGTAAAGAAGAAACTCTCACCTACAAATAAACACACTACTATAGTCTCTTTGACAGATTCAAGTTAAAGGACCAGTGTGTGAGATTTAATCAGGACTTTAATGTGACGATTTAAAATATTTTTACTTGAGTTTAATTACTTTAAAAGTTTGTAATGTTAATGATTGTTTATGTCTGCACTTCACAAAGTTCACAATGCTTCACATGTTTCTATAATAAACCAGAAGACTCAGAACAAACGGCTGCTTTAGAGCGGGCCTTCAGTCTACTGAAGCCGGGCGACTCTGAGCCATTTCAGGACGATTTCATCAAAACCTTTGAGTCGACTGATTTTTCATTCTGCCTGATCTCCCGTTGTTAGTTGTGCAGTGTACACTGAGGCTCGACAGCCTATCATTGTCTGATCAGCTGCTTCAGACTGGTCGGATGATTTTCTGGCACGTTTGATATTTTGGTTGTACGACTGCCCACACTCACATAGCAGAGCCATGCGCAGATCCACGACTTCAGGACTTTTCCCCCTGATTGTGTCTGCGCAAACTGACAGAAAACATCCTAAATCACCATGGCAACAGTAGACACGCCTATTTAATCCAAAAGAAACGATGGCAGGAAATATCTGCAGACCTCCAGCTGAGAGGGAATACTTGTTATTATTTAGCTGCTAGTAAGCTTGTGTGTGTGTGTGTGTGTGTGTGTGTGTGTGTGTGTGTGTGTGTGTGTGTTGTGTGTGTGTGTGTGTGTGTGTTGTGTGTGTGTGTGTGTGTGTGTGTGTGTGTGTGTTGTGTGTGTGTGTGTGTGTGTTGTGTGTGTGTGTGATGTGTGTGTGTGTGTGTGTGTGTGTGTGTGTGTGTGTGTGTGTGGTGTGTGTGTGTGTGTGAGAGAAAGTGTTTTTTGGGCATGTGTGTATTTGAGTCGTGCATATGAGACAGATCTATTGATGATGGTGAATGCTCTGTCCTGATTTCACTCGTACAGTGTGAGTCGACATTCCTCCATGAATTTCAAACAATCGTACAGAGTACGCTGAGCTTTAATGATTGTTGTAAACTCTGCAGGTGAAGAGGGGAGCATCGAGGGAGGGGTTGTCAGCTGGTTTCAATCTGCACCCTCAGCACTTTATTCCACTTAATTCTTCTTTGGTCACTTCAGTTATATTTTTATTCTTCTCTCCTCAAGATGCTCCATCAGTTTGTTCAGCGTCTGTGAGTCCTGCTGGTGAAATCAGAGAGAACAGTAGAGTGACTGTGACCTGTAGCTGTGATGCTAACCCAGCACCTGAATACACCTGGTACAACGTGAACGTGCTCGTAAACTCAGTAAAGAATCAGAGCTCGTCTTCAGCTCAGTTCAGTCCTCTGACTCTGGAAGGTATTACTGTAAAGCTAAGAATGATCTGGGAGAGAGGACATCTGGATACGTCAAAGTTGAAGTGAAATGTGAGTGAAAAACATTTTCTTTGAAAAGCAACATTGAGCTGATTTCTCATTTGAAGGTTTAATTTGCTGATCATATCTGCTTCCTCTAGCTCTACTTCACACTCACAGTCTGCAGCTAAAGCCCACTGAGCACTGTTTTTTCATCTTGACAATTCAAACATTTTAATGTTGAGGAAAATTAAAACAGATGTTTTCTCCTCCAGATGCTCCAAAGCTTCCCTCTGTGTCAGTGAGTCCCTCTGCTGAGATAGTGGAGGGCAGTTCAGTGACTCTGACCTGTAGCAGTGATGCTAACCCAGCAGCTAATTACACCTGGTTCAAGGAGGATGAAGACTCACCAACAGCTTCAGGACAGATCTTTAACATAAACAACACAAGTCCTGAACACAGTGGGCATTATATTTGTATCGCCCAAAATACCAAGAGGACGTCATAACTCCACTGTACATCTGACTGTTTTGGAAGGTAAGCTTCACCCACCTGTTTCACAGGTCATATGACTCTATGACAGGAACAGCGTCTAAAGGAATAACAACACTCTGATTCAGTCGGGAAGGCCACCCAATAGACCTCCGTAAAGGTTCTCCATTAGTCAGTCTCTTGGTATAACTAAAGACTTCCTCGATTGAATTCTTCACAGGACGCCTTCCAGAGACTCCGAGAGGGGTTCAGTTTAGTTTAGAATTTAGAATATATATACATGTACCTGCAAAATGCATCTGCCTAAACATACACACACATAAACAATAAGCAAATAGAACAATCAAAGAGTTACAGGAGGAACATAAATCAAATAAAATGTATAGCTTGTTGGATGGCAATAGATGAATTTACTCGGTCAAAAGATACTGCTTTAATAAACATTTGAATTTAGTTTTCTTGTTTCTTAGTTCATGTATCTTTGAAGTGAGTTCCATTCCTGCATTGCTCGAAACATTTACTGTTTGTTTAATTGAGTTGGTTCTTGCTTTAGTTAAATGAAGTTCCCTCCTGTTGCATGCCTGGTTGAGTAGTTTTGAGATGCTGAACTAAACGTTACATTTTTAAGTCTTTGTCACAATAATGTTTTTGATAAATGTCAAAAGTGAGTATCGTAGTCTGTTTTTAACAGTAACAGGGTGTTTGTCCTTCGTTTGGGTCTTATTTCTTTTTCAATTTCACCAAAAGAAAATACAATAAGTTGTAAGAATGTGTTCATGACGTGTTTTTACTTGTAAGGTTAACTTTCTGTCTCTGTCTGTTTCAGCAGGAGGATGGAAACTGACGACTGCTGTGACAGTTCCTGCTATTTTCCTCATTATCATACTCATCTTTGTCGTCATATGGATCATGTGAGCAGTTCTTTTCAGCAAATACTTGTTCATGATTAATGCATTGTACCCTCACAAACAACAATATGGTTTACTTTTCTATTTGAATGCACCTCACCAGAAAGAAGAGGGCGCAAGCAACCGTCTGAGCCCGGAGACAGACCAGAGAACAGTGAACAGGTGAGGAAGTCTCTGAATTTATGAATCAGGACGGTTGAACTCTTGACATAGTGTTTGATTTTGTTTGCCTACAGCAATGTTTGTCCTATTTGTTTGCTGTAAGTGCTTCAGCTTTTGCTCTCTCCATCCTGGTGCTTCACATGTTGGGTTTTTCCAAAAAACTGATGATTTTCTGAGAGCTCCCCAAAAAAGGAAAGTGAGACCTTTTGGGTTGCGTTGCTTCCTGCCCTGATAAAGACACCCAAGGATCATCAGCATTCAAAAGGCAAACCATAAC